AGAGGTACTCTGCTTTTTCCTTGAGGTTACAAGTGCAAGATTAAACAGGCATTTTAGGGCTGTTTTGTTTCTCTTGGGATGAGAGAAGACTGAGTCCAAGGAGCTTGTGTCCTGCCAGTTTGTCAGACCCAGTTAGAAAAGATGAATGACTTTGCTTTTTCCTTCCTTCTGAGCCGTGATTTTAATTTGCAAGATGGCTGAAAGGGGCCTGCACCTCTACTGGAATAACACAAAAGTCAAAATTCAAGATTACTAAAGCCTGTGGTACACAGCTGGGAGGTGAGAGACAGGGGGAAAAGCACTTTCTTTCCTCCCTATTCCCTTGTATCCCCATCCAGCCAACATGGCTGATCACTTGTCAATGCTGGTGAGAGATGGCAAGTCACTGCCTGTATTCTGCAGTGCTGGCAGGGCAGTGCTCCTTTTTGAGAGAGAAAACTCCAGTGAAGTAAGTGTGTGCTATACAGGACAAGGTACTTAACTTTGTACAGCAGCTGGAAAGGCTGAGACCCACATTGGTACATTGGTGTAATGAAAGCAAAGCCCAAGCACTTCTTTGGGCAAAGCCCATCATGTATTATTGAAAGAAACATCAATAAGAAAAACAGCCACCTTACGTATTCATTGAGGAAACAAAAGCCAATGGCAATTTGTCCAGCATTCAAGATGAGGAAACAGCAGTCACTGAAAGAGTCATATACAATCAAACCACTGGGGGGAAAGTGTTGTTCCTTATTCAGCTAATTGGTGTCTCTTGGAAACATCTGCTCTTGCTCCTGAGTTTCTTTGATAAGAGCATAAATGGCACTGTGTAATTCACCTTTTCTGTAGCATTGTCTCTTGGGCCTCTACTGTGGGAGTCTCATTTTCCTTTTCTCTGTGTGTTGTGTTCTGATAATCTTATTTGTTCTATCTGTGGTGTCTCTGCTTCTGATGCTTTCTTATTACTCTCTGGAAATTTTCTGGCTTTCTGATGGTCTTACTGAGGAAGAATTGGTAATACCGATAGCATTTTCAAGGAATATACTATCAATTCATAGTTTTTACTTCTACAGTGATCGCTGGATTTACTCAAGTAGCAGAGTCATTCTGGGTTTGCTCATAAATTGTTGATTCACATAAAAAAATAGAAGGCCTAATTTTGACATAGGGCCTGATGTTCTGTGTAATACAGTAATACAGAATTTCTCTTGGTAATTATATCATCCAGTTTGTGGTAGATATCTTGGACTTGCATGTTCTATCATTTAGAAATTGATGACTCATCTGGCATTGGTTACTGGCATCCTTCTCACTTGGGTGCTGTTCAGGCTGTTCTGCTGCCCCTGTTTTTTCTAAGCCTGGGTCCTTCAGTCTGTTACTGTGCTTGGTATGGTCCATCTGTACACATCAGGAAAGGACCTTTGGCTTTCATTAGATATTAATTGGGAATTCTCCATTTATCTTTTAAAAATTCAAACCCGGGCTATGTAATATCTAATTTTTGTGATTCCTGTTGGAGAGTTTGTCTTGAATCCTGGCTATGAGCTTTTTGGTTTGGGGTTTTTTTTTAAGCCTTTTTCCAGCTGAAGTAAACTTTACTTTGCTGTTAAGCTCACTGGGAGGAGGGGCAGCCATGATACTATATTTATTTAATTTGTATTACAGCATATATGATTCTAGTTTTAAGAAGCATAGTTCAGAATACAGGTAAATATTACTGGTTAATGCCAGTGTGTCCATATGTCCCCTCCACCATTTTTGTTGTTTTTTGTTGTCTAAAACAGAGACATTTGGAGAGTTTTTTTCCTCCTTCAAGTTCCTCAGCAGTTGAAATTGCTCAGAGAAGATAAATAATTTAAAGACATGAATTTCTAATTAAAGTTAATATTTCATGTTGTAGATTGATCTCACACTAGTATGTTTATAAATGTTATGTTGAGTGTTCCAATTTAATTGAATTTATTTTTTGGCTTGCACCTTTTTATTAGAATCACTGTGAAAAGTGGTTGTTGTCTGACTTACGTGAAACTGAGCTAATTATTTTGATGTCTCTTATTTGTTTTTCTGAAGAAAAGTTAAGTTCAATGTCTTGAAGAAAAGTTAAGTTCAACGGAGCTGTAGTAGAATTTGCTTTTAACATATCTATCCCTATGCTTTAATTTTGCATGCACATGTATTTTGTTTAATTTCTGCATTTGTATTTTTTTATGTAGATTTTGCATCTCAGTTGCTTTTGCTTTTTTGCAAAAGTTGGAATGTATTCTGTAATATCTCTGCTGCTGGGTAGAGCAAAGGTGGTTGGTTGTCCTTCTGTATTTAATCCCTAATCATCTGTCTGAAAGCAGAGTAAGAAAACAAAAAGAGCACACCTATTTCCATGCCTTTGTCATGTTGGGGATGTAAGAGAGTTACTTCCTACCCATGGCCATGGTGCTCAGTGTTACAGTCTAACTTTTAGCATACAGGGCTAGTTTTAGATGTGCACAATGAATTGCCAACATATTGTGATGGATTTAAAAAAAAAAATAAAAATTTGTGGCAAGGAACAAAATTCTGAATGTAATAAGTGTATCTGATAGTTAGGTATTAAGTCATGGCCTGTGTAATTTTACTGGAAGTTTATTATAGTGCAGACACATTTAATGGTGAATGCACCTCCCTGCGTGTGAAATCACCGCTAATGTAATGAGAAGGGAAGGTTGTGATAAATCTGCCAGCGTAATAGTAACAGGCACTCATATACTTCATATTATGAGACACAGCCTGTGTATTCAAAACTGGGAAATTATCATCTCCCCTGCATTAATAAAGATGTCAGTGAGCAGGGATGTATCTGTGACGGGAAGGGTTCACAGACCTCACCCTGGACTCGTCTGGTTGCTATTTAAGGCTCAAGTGGTTTACACAGGTGGGAATGTGTGAGGCTGCCAAAAGCCTTTGCCAGCACAAAGCCTGGTCCAGCTTGTGCCAGGACACCTTTTGCCAGGGAAAAAGCAGGAGAGAAGAAGCAGCAAGCAGCTGTGTGGTGTGTCAGGACAGGTGAGGGGGAGGTCAAGTAATCAGCTGAGTGCCTGAGGCTTTTGTGACACTGCAGATTTTACTGCAGCAAGGTTGTGAGGAGGCACAAAAATTGACTAGAGAGGCTGCATCAGCAAGTAATTTTGGCATTGGCCAGCTAAATTGCCCTTTAGCCTATTCATTGTTTTGCCTGTGTATAGGTGTACCTATGCATACCTGAGCTTTTCTTCTTGGACACTTGCCTCTGCTCCAGGATCTTTAGCTGGGGAAACAAGGGAACTGTAATAGCAAAGGGCTCCTAGGCTTGACATAGGCTTGCACTGGGGCAGCACAGCGAAAGCAACTCCTAAAGGTATTTTTGTTGCAAACCAAGAGGATTAGAGAAGCAATCAGAAGGTGTGCTGAGAAGGGACAAGGAAAAAGCAGACAATCCAGACTGTCACCGTGAAACAGTTACCTTTGGCTGGGGCAACACCAAGGTCCAGGCATAGCAGAGTCAGGCCCTGTGAGATTACAGTGCCCAGCACTAATGGCAGCCTTTCCAATCTGGCCTTCTTTTAAATGAAACCATGAATGCCAATTTTTAAATTATTGTTATTTTTATTTTTCTTCTTTTTTTCTTGTTAATACTTCTCTGGGTGCATATGGACCATGGTGAGCTTTAGGCAGAGGAATGGAACAGAGAAAAAAAGCAGATACTGACAGGCATTGCTAGCCAAGGTAGTTCACAGCAGAGCCCAGATATGCAAGCAAAGCAAAATGCACCTCTCTTTTAGAGCAAATGGACTTGAGAGGTGTTGTCATTTAACCTCCAAGTCTTCTCAGGCTGTAGTGATGTCCACTCTCCATGGGCATATCTATCTCAGTTATTAATAAGTCATCAGAGTAATCACCTTTTCATGTGAGGTTATGGGAGAAAGGCATGTCTGGGTGCTCAGTAGTCAGAAAGGAAAAGCTGCCATGGAAAAGGAGCCTGAACTGTGTGCAATAGGCAGAGAAAGCTTTTTGGTCTCTGGAACACACTGCGATTCATTAGTTTTTGAAGAAAAGCTGAAAAATGTGATATTATTGTGGGGAGGTGGGGGTGCAGCTGTAAGTCTGCACGTTTGCCATGCAGCTCAAAATTACAGCCCGTAAATAGATGTACATACTTAACCTCCTGGAAGGGCTGTAGCTCCCTGCTGTAGTACAATAAGAATAGTAATACTTACCATTTAGATTGTGCTTTCTATTTTCAGAGCTGTGCCAGCGTTAGGTATTTCAATGTAAAGCGGGTGGGTGATCGTGAATAGGATGCTGAGCTTTTCAATTTCGGGGAGGGGGGGAACGGTGTTATTTTGCATACTCCTCGGAATAAAAGGAGATTCAAACCCTTCTATTCTGGCACTGGGGGCACGACATCTTTCAGCTTTCTTCCAGGAGCGACTCTCACAGGGGAGCCGATTTCTTCTCGGCTCTGACCACCACAGCCCTCAGTAATTATAGCAGCGTCTGAATTCTGAGCTAAAAACAGAAGTGCAGCATGTGCCTATTCCCCATGTGATTCAGAAAGCAGGAAATTGAAAGAGCCTGACTGCGAGGAGAGGGAGCGCAGAGCAATAGACACATGCACTATCTGTCTGGAAGCTGCTCCGCCCGGGACGCAGGAGCTGTCACCCGCCGGTTCTGCGTGCGGCCCGGGCCCAGCCCGGCT